AAATTCTTATTAAGATATTGCTGGTGCATCTGTTCGCAAGATTCGGGGACAAGGGACCAGCGTGGCACTCGAGCAGGAGACTTAACGTAGGTAGGGGGATTCCGGCTCCCAGGCCAATCCATAGTCTGAGGGTCCAGACGGAAATGTCTGCCGGATGAAAGGTCAGACTGATCAACAGCATTACAATTACTTTCACTGTTAATATTCAGAGCAAAAGCCGAATGGGTATATATCACCTCTGGACCTTCGAGGCGGATGACAAAGCGTTCCGGTCGGTGGTAACGTCGCCACCAAGCAAGACATGATACAGACTGAGGTTGGCTAGCGACTGGTTGGAGTGGAATAGCCGTCTGCCAAAGGCGGGTTCTCAAACTGGAAATTCGACCAGGGGGAGACTAAGTGGCCAAAGTATAAAATTAAAAATAAAGCAATATTCTCAAGGCATGACTTGTGTCAGGGTGAAATTTAGTAACGTGCTCAGTAAGAGATTTTGTGGCTATTTGAAAGAGCAAAGATAATATCGAGAAGATGATGCAGTAGGCGCACTCAGCTACGTTGGTAGTTAATTAGTGTAAGGATAAAGCATAAGTAAGAAACTACAATATCTAGCTAAATTTCAATGTGACGGCATCGATGCATCAAGACAACAAGCTGTTAGTTGTGAACAAAACATTTATTAAATGACTTATCTTCATTTTAATAAGGTTTAGAAATCATTAATAGGCTTTGATTATGAATGTTAGGCACACTAGGTCGTATAAGATGATAAAATGATGTGAATTTTTCACAATCATAGGTGCAGACCTCACAAAGCAAGTACATTTCACCTAGCCATACCTCTAAAAGGGTAATTCTCTTTCAGGGTGGACTGCAATTGTAAGTTTGACTGGGTCTCATCAGCATTCTAACAGGAATTGAACCTGGATTATGCAGCGCCAGCGTGTCGAAAATACATGCTGCAAAACCCGGGCTCGATTTCCGTCGTTGGTGCTGCTGAGACCCAGGCAAGAATGAAACTATATAACATCCTAAATGAGAGGCAAGGCTAAGTTACATTGTGACATAACTTTTAATTTCAAAGGAAAAATCGGTCGGAAGGAATTGTCGAAAAGGTCGCACCAGAAACCGAAGGAGAATTGTCGCTTAGTGGGGATGATTACAATGTGCAGAGGTCATCGACTCACTATTCTGCGACCCGACGGACCTGTGAAAAGCTTACGTCTGTACTGTAAAAAGCATTATCAGAGCAAGAATCAATACCTTAGAAACAGAGCAAAAATATACGAAACCATACTATATCAAATCGAAGAAATAAAGACCAAGATGTTGTGGCCTTCTGTTTGCTCGAGGTCTCCTTTAGCTCTATAGTGTTGGTTTGACCTTGTTTTAGAAACTTGGTCGCAGCGTCAGATAGACCTTGCAGAGCGTACTTTGTCCTGTGTCCTCTGCCATAGTATTCGTGATTTCCAGCATCTGACCATTGACTCGCCGGCATCATCAACGACGGTTGCCATCATCAACACAATTACAACATATCAAAGTGACAACAGAAGGCAATCCCGTTGGCAAATTTTCTGTTCAACCGCTGTGGCATCACTCCTCGCCTCTATTTGTCGTTCTACCCTCTAATGCTGCATCGCTTTCTCTCGACCCCCAGAATGGACTGTAGTTTCAACCTGGCATACGTCTTACCAACATCCCCAGCGGAAGTCGAACCATGACAATGCAGCATGTGAACTTGACAATTTAACCACTCGGCCACATAGTCACGAGTGTCCTTTGGTCACACGGAAGATGTGAATTTCAAGCAAGGCCAGGCCTTTTCCCATATCACATTTTTTGGTAGGGTTGTCGATGAAGCAAACGCATTTTTCGAAGATATGAAGACAAAGATGGTGTGGTCCCCGGTAGTTTAGCAGTCATCCAGGTATCACATGAGCACTGCCGGTTGTAGCAATGCCATCTTGAAGTTCTCTCCTATTTTGTTCATGTATACGTTCGCCAAGAGTGAGCGGCGAACCCATGGGAAGTCCAAAGATTTGTTCATAGATGATCACGTTGAATGTAAAATAGGTTGTCCTTATTGTCAAGTTAATTAGTCTTGTTAAGGACTCCCTCCTGATACGTTGTGATTCCAGGATATCCTCCATTCGGTCTAGGATTTCCAGCAGGGCCGTAAGCGCATTTTCTTCAGAGTTATGCATGGATTCCACAGCGAAACTGACCAATAAGTCTGTTTCTTTAAGTTCCATGTTTTTAATTTTTTGAAAAAATTAAAATGAATGTTTCACCATGTTTAATAGCCTCTCATTTAATTTCTTGAGTTTCAAACATAAAAATTTTTCAATTTGTTTGTTATTCCATATATGTTGTTGACTATCAGCCTTAGTGGCTTCCCTTCTTTACGTATCTTTGGTGGTCGTGCATCCGTTCTTAAAATTGAATTTTTTGTTGATGCGTCAATTTACCCGTTCCTATGCATATCTTTCAGCATGCCACTTAGGGTTCCATTAAGCTTCATAGATGGATCCTTGTTTAGTATACGATATTGGTCCTGTCTTGTAGAATATGTTGCATCTTCTCGGTATACTGTTTTCTATTAATTATCACTGTAGCTCCTCCTTTGTCCGCCTGAGGGACTAATTGTTCATTCGTTTACAGGGTTTTGTGTATCCTGGCAAATCTGTTCCTGTGTGTTGGTTCTTGATGTGCCAAGACCTTTAAATTTAATTCCATCACCATTTCCCGTTTAGATTCCCCAGAAACAAAAACGGGGATATTGATAACCTCCACCAGGATGTCTCCTAGAAGGCTTTCGTCATTTTGAAGTGAAAAGTTGAGTCTTTTTCCAGGAACGCGGTTGTTTCAGGATTGAGAAGAATCGATGATAGGTTTAATACTTTCTTCCTATTGCCGTGCTGATCAGTAGGTAGTCACATCGGAAGCCACTTCAACTGGGCGTACTGGTTTTAACTTAGGCTGTCTTATAATCAAAAACTTACGCAGTTTATTTCCATGCCGTTTGGTTATTAAGTCAGAAATCC